GCTAAATGCCCCAGCCTCATACATTTACACGGCTCTATGCAAAATTCATACTTCCTTTCCCCATGACAAAATCTGTTTAGTCAAAGACCTCATTTTAAGCAAGTATTTCCACTACCAAACTCCAAAAGATGCTAATAGGTTTTTTGTATTTGTATTTAGAATAACTTGGGAGCAGGGTCGATACGTATTAAAATATGAATCGTGACAATATTAACAAAAACACTATGCCTTTTATAAACAACTAAACGTGGACCAATTGTGTTAAGTTGAAATGTCAAAATAGGATGTTATTGCTAGATTAAAAATGGGTTGGACAATTTTTGAAAAAAGAAAAAAAAAAATCTACCGTATTTTTCAGGCTATAAGTCACACTTTTGTCATAGTTTGGGTGGTCCTACGACTTATATATTAAAATGTTCACACTGACAGGCGTTAGAGGCTTGTGTGTCAGTATCTGCTGCTCCTGTTCCTCCTGTACCACTGTCAGTTGGCTCTACTGCACATGTCTCCTGCAGAAAGAGCCTCTGTCCTGTCTGTATCATGTCAGTCGCACCATTACTTCTGTACCACTGAAAACTTAAACTTAAAATTTAAACAAACTTATGAAGATGACTGAGAAGACTGAACACAAATGCCCCCAAAAAGAAAATCATATTTTGCAGATTAGAAACTGCAAGTAGCGAAATATTCAGCCGAAAACGATAACCGAGCAGCAGAAAGTGAAATGAGTGAGAAACTTGTGACACTGGGAGGGTGCGCCATAAAACTTTTGTGGAAGTCATTGGATGGATCGACAAAGCCTGGACTTCAGTGACACCGAAACCATCCTGTCTGGATTCAGAAAGGCCTGAATAATTCTAACTGGAACTGATGCTGAGTCTGACGACAGCTACACAGAAGAGGAAGCGGCGCTCTGTTTACCTCCAGAGGTTGCAGAGTTGCTCAGAAGTGACACAGAGGATGAAGAATTCAATGGATTTAGTGATTTGGAGTGAGATGGAGAGTTTGGTAAACTTGTTCTTTTGTTTAGGCTATAGTTACCTGAAGAACTGTTCATATGTTCCATTGACAGTCTGTTGTTCTCTGTTCTATTGGTATTAATATAATTTGCCGTCCAAGATGAAATGTCGCTTCCTGGTCTCTGATTTTATAAAATACATTTCCTCAAAAAAGTGCGACTTATAGTCCAGTGTGATTTATATGTTTTTTCTTCATTATGCATTTTTTGGTTGGTGTGACTTATACTCCGGAGTGACTTATAGTTCAAAAAATATGGTAATTGTAATTTTTCTGAGCCCTAATGAAGCTGACTGGTTGGTATGAAAATGCTGGCTTCAAAAAAATAAAGTAAATCCAGTTGTTGTCAATTAACTCTCTTCTATCTTATTCCTGGATGTCTCAAAATGTTCATAAATTATTTCTGAGAAGTATTATGATTTCAGTTGGATTTGTGATGTATGTTTAAAAAGTAAGATTCCTGTTCATTCTGTAAACAGCTCCAGGAGTGTTAACATTTGAGAGAAGACTGAAATATGAACTGATACTAATACGAGAATCCCATGTATTTCCAAACATGTTTGTAGAGTCTAAATTACATGATCAACAATATTTTTCTATTAAAACCTATTTTCTCCTTTGGAGGGGACATAGTGTCATCTAAATTATTGCAGCCTTTACAGTTTCATAATTAAAAACACCATTATCAGATGTAACTGCAAAGTTTTGAAAATAAACTGATATGATAATACATAATACTGCATGCCTGTGTCATACTGTGCAGCGCGAGTGCAGGTTCGCCGTCTGTCACAGGGAAAGCTCCATAAACAAATGCAGGCTTATGTAAATGTATACCGCCCGCAAGCTTAAAGCCCCATGATTACAGATCCATCAACATTTAATCCGCATTAAACCTCAAAGAAAGCTGCTTTTTATCCAGCCAGCGCAGAGGAGGCGTGGCTTAAGGGAAAGGGGGTGTGGTTTATGGAATGGGGGTGTGGCTTAATAAAAAGGGGTGGGACTCTGAGTTAATTTCCTCGGTTTTCATCAGTGTCATATTTTTGCTGACTAATGCTAAATAAAATTTAAAAAAAGTAACGATGATTAAAGCTTTGACTCAAATTACATGCATTTTTGTAAACTAAAATGGGATATTTTCAAGATTTTCGACAAAAAGTACGGATATTTTTGTATGTTTCGCCACTCCAATCCAAGTAGCTTCTTCAGTTCTGACAGGGTTCTGGTAAGATACTTTCTTATATCTGTCTGAAGGGAAAACTAATACACCCTAGTTGTTTACGGCATTGTTTCTCAAAGACTGAGTCGTGATCTTCAGGTGTCGCAAGAGTTTTTTTTGGGGGGGTCGCCTTGTCACAATCTGCATATACGTCTGCAATATACAGCTTTTATCATGATTCTGGATCAGCATTTTGTCAGAGTATCCTGTCCTCAGTAGGGCCAGTGTCTCTATATTTATTCCTTTTACTACTACATATATGTGTGAATTGGGATTTTCTGCGCTCACAAAAATGAAGACAAAGCACCTGATCTGCTGCTGCGCTCTCCTCCTGCACCCCGGACTGGAACGAGCTACAAAAACACAGACAAGCCCACCTACCTCATTAGAAATGTTGAAATTTTAAAACATGTTTTGTATAATTTCTAATCTTTGTGTAATTCTTGTATTGACTATTTTGTTCCCATATTGCTGGTTCAACTGAATGTTGAAAAGAAAAAGAAATGGGTTACGTTTAATGTCCAAATATGCGACTTACGGATCCTTTTATTGCTGCTTCAATTACTGTTTTTCATTGTTTAAAACTTGAGTAATACTAATTGTTCAGAGACACGATCACTCAGTCAACAATAAAATATCCTCATTAATGTTCAATAATGGTCAAATCCACCTTTATGTGATTTACGAATAATGTGGAAGGTTTGTGACTTTTACAATATGGGTCCCCAGAGAAAAAGTTTGGGAAACACTGGTTTACAATAAGGAGTTCAAGGTCTTAATGGGTCATCTGGAGCATAATTTGTTTTGGTTTGGGTCTAAATTGTAAAATGGTTGTACTCTAAATTAGCATGACATTGTTCTTGACTAAACCTAGGCTAAAACAAAACAAATAATTCTAGTCAAAATGATCACTGATGTCGCTTGGATGCGTGATGGGCGTTGTCCCTTTGTGCTACGACGACAGCAGCCTCCCGGTAAAAACAGGGCTTGACTGTGACATGACTGTGCTTCCCTTCACATGTGCGGGGCTTATGAGGTCGGACAGCGCGGTGCCTGGCTCTCCAGCGGGCCCCGGGGCCACTACACTCTCTCACACTCGAGTGATCGCCAACATATTGCATGTGCACCTCTTCCCTCTCCGCGCCCAGGGACAAGCCCGCAGCCAGAGAAAAACATCCTTTAACCCTGAATGAGAGGTCGAGAGAAGCAGCGTTTGAAAAGAGCATGAGGAAGTAGAAAAATATCAAAGTCTCCAGAGGCTGTTTCCGAATGTCTTTGGCACTTTAGAAAATGTACAAACAGACTTACATAGAAAAGGCAGAACCGAGGGATGAGAATCTAAAATGCGTCTGACAATATATACGCTGTAGAATAAAAGGACAGCTTATAATGAGCTCCGTGGGCAAGGAGGGTTGTTGTTGTGCCCAAGGACACAACAACTGTATACACTAGTCAGAGTGGAGTTATAAACGCCAGTCTATCAAAACGTACAAATTATTTGACTCCAACGTAAGCCGGTTTTGTGCTGTGGTTTCAAATCTGTGCTTAGTTTAGTCGTCGACTACAGCGAGTGACTTTTTCATTTGTCGACCAGTCAAATGTACGAAAGCCCTGAACAGCAAGAGGAAAAAAGGCAATTTTTTTTTTTTTTTTTGCACCAACAACTGATTTTTTTTTTTTTAAAAAAAAAAAAAAAAAAAAACTAAAAAAAAAAAAAAAAAAAAAAAAATATTTATAATATAATAATATAATATATAATATATAATTTTTTTTTATTGTCTTTACCGTTGATGTGGCTGATTAAAAAAGAAGAAAAAAAAATTGCCGTTGGAGAAAAACACACACACACACAAGAGCTGTTGCTGCAAAATGAAAAAAATTTTAATAAAAAATAAAAAAAATAAAAAAAATTTTTTTTTCTTTTTTTTTTTTTGAGTTGTTGGTGTAAAAAAAAAAAAAAAGACACAAAATAGAGCCCAAATTGACTTGCCTATTCTTTTTAAATAACAGTGGAAATATGATTGATATACGATATGATTATAGATTTCTAATATTTACAAAAAAGTGTATTTATTTATGAAAATCTGAAATAGTTTATTCTATTAATATAAACCTTAATATAATCCTTTTCGATTTATTAAAGGTCCCTCATTACGCAAAATTTACTCTTGTGAGCTTTAAGTCAGGTTAAAGACAAACAAATCTGGACTTGTGTTTTGTTTCATTCACATATTAAGTGTAATCCTTTATTATTAGTCTGTCTACATCTCAAAAGCTCAAAATGCTCTGTTCCACCTTGTGATGTCATTTCGTGGTAGTTTTCAAGTTAATAGCTACCTTTAACCTTTTGTTCAATAGAGACTGGCAGTTTCAGGGCTGAAATTATCCAAATGATTCTAGTAAAAGTGTACTGAGTTTAAAACTTCCTGTATTACCACATGACATCACAAGGTGGAACAGAGTATTTTCTATTTGAAAGAAGAGCTCAACTTAAATGTGCACGTTTTTTGTGTTAAATGTGTGAATGAAACAAAACACAACTCTTGGTACTTCAGGTGTCAGAGAAAAGCGTAATATGGGCACAATTAAGATGATCAAAACACAATTACGATTATTTTAATAGTCGACTAATCATGAGTATTCCAATTAATCGTTGCTGCCAAACTGTGCTTTTTACAGATTTCTAAAGTTTCATCCATCATCACTCACAATTTAGATTCTCAACCCTCAAAACTATTTTTAAAGGTACAAAAACATCCCGGAAATCCTATCCACATATGAGTCTCGCGATGCCCGGGTGAACCTGCGCCTGGATCGGCCCGTACTCCACCGTCTCCCCGTCCACTGCGATCATCCCCTGCGGCGTTAACGGTTCCAACCTGAAAGCTTTCACCTTTTCGTACATCAGATACGGACAACCACAATCCAGGTGCGCTCCCTTCTCCATCGCCAAAAACAACCGCAGAAGGGCAGGTCTCGAGATTCCGCCGGTCACGTAGAACAAATGAATCACGCCATCGTCCGCTAAAGCTCCAGGTGCTGTCCACAAATCTTCAGCGAGGTGCGATTGGTAAATGGCCAGAACTAGAACGAAGTCTTCCTCTTTGACGACTGTCCAACTTTCGGGCACTGGTTGATCCAAACTCGGAAGCAAAGAGTCCAGTAAAAGCGCTTTGGTTTTACCGTCGCTTTGAGTTTCAATGGAAGTCTTGCTTATGGTGTTCTGGTTGGAGTTGGTGCTGCTACAACGCAACACGGAGTTCTGGTTCGGAGATTTCGGAATGACACGGCAAGGTAGAGGCGAGCAAAGAGACATAGGTGAAGAATTCCCTTTTTGGATTTTGGAGGTTTCGTCTATAGGTAGGTACGCTAACCTGCCTTGGTAAACTCGTAAGGTGGCGAGGCGGACCAAAGTGCCCATGAGGAATCGGATGGCTCCAACGTGGCGGTACTTTTCGCTTTCCACGTCGACGTCGGCCACGAAGCCCCAGGCGATGGAGAGGAAGGAGAAGAGGCGTTGTCTGGAGGAGAGGTGGACGGAGACCAGGTCCATGCAGCCCACCAGGCCCTTGCACAGCATGAAACCGCAGCTCAGAAGAAGCTCCTCGTTCCACGCTGGAGGTGCCCTGAGGGAGGAAAGATAAAAAAATATATATATAAGTTATGTAATGGTTTAAAGTCCCTGTACCTTTTCCCATGTTTTTGAGCTAAATGTATCTTGCCCCAGTACAGATATATTGTATAAGCAGCTCTAGAGGTCAAAATATCTTCGCTGTGTCCTGTCTGCATTTAATTGGTCTCTGAAAGTTTTGAAAAGTGCTCATAAAGTCATGACAGTGATCATTTAGGATGCTCTGAATGCACAGGATAAGTGAGGAATAAATTTGGACCACTGCAAACAGTTGAAAAATGAACTAGTTCTGCTTTTCACATATTAAGACATTAAAAATCGGCACCTTTAAAAGCGTGTTCACAAGAGAACATCGTTTTGATTGTATGGAAAGTTAGAATTGTTAGTATCGTATAATAAGACAAGTCAAAAAGCTGCAAAATAGACAGTTTCAGTGTAATATACCCTGGTTTAAAATTGCAGTACATTCACTTTTGTACAATGCTTGAACCCTAACTAAGGCTACGTTCAAACTGCAGCCTGAAGTGACGCAAATCCGATTTTTTCACCCCTACACGACTTGTATCTGATCTTTTAATGACAGTCTGAATGACACAGATCCGATTTTTTCAAATGTGACCCAGGCCACTTGGATATGTGCTCCTAAAACCGATTCATATCCGATCTTTTGACATGCGACTTCAGTCTGAACGGTCAGGTCGCATTCATCCCACCTACACGTCAGGCTCGGAGTCTAGTCAACGGAGGGAAAGCGAGGTTAGGGAGTTAATTAATATTTGGGGGGGATCTGTATTCAGTCCAAATGGCCGAGCGTGGCTACAGTCGGTTCTGGCTCCAATGTCAATGAAAAATAAAGAGCCTGTGAGACAAATACAAGGAGGCTAAAGACTCAAAGAAACGAAGTGGCTGTGGACGTGTAACCTGTCCATTTTACAAAGAACTGGACCATATTTTGGGAGACAAGCCCAGCATTTAGGCGACTTCTGTAAACACTGAGCACACTCGCTGTGTGAAACGTCGTCATGTCCTCCAATATGCATGTTGAACACTTTTGGGGTGTTTAAAGTTCACACTGGAGCTCACATAGAAGTCGCATTTAACTGGAAATGTGAACGACCTCACAAAAAAATCTGATTTCACAAAAAATTCCGAATTGAGCATTAAGCCCTGCAGTCTGAACGTAGCCTAAGACATTTATAGATACGTTTTTGAATGGATTGCAAAAGTATAATCTGATTACTGTGAAAGGTGCTCTTAGTAATTTTGTCTCCATGGAGATGTTAGTGCATTGTCCGGAATATTCCACAGACTGCATCAAGAGCTTCATGGTGATGGGCAGAAGAGACCACAAGGCCAAGTAAAGTTACAAGCCAGATCTGTGGACAGGAGCGATCCCTCTCAGTAAAAAGCGCACTGTAAGATTTTGCCATAGAATTTTAATGCCATACGGTGGAACATTCCAGGCAAATCAATAACATCTCCACCAAAGAGTTTAGGAAAACAAGAGTTGATCGTTTTGTCAATATTTCTTACTGGTAATCATAAATAAACTGTGCTCAAAGTTTCAGTAAGTCTTTGGCAAAATCTCAAAACAAAATGTATTTTTACTGCACAGCAAAAGGGCACTTAAATAATCAATATTCTATGTGTATTTGACATCTCTCTGGTAAAGTGATCAGCAGTCGCCTCGCGACTTGAAGGTCCTAGGTTCAATTTCCAAACTGTGTAGTGGAATTTATGGTGGAATTACACATTTAGGTTTATTGAGTCAGTAACATAAATTGATTTGATTGATTGATATATCACCTTTCAAGATACCCAAAGTGCTTTACAGTTCATTATTCAGTCACTCCACACTCAGTGGTGGTAAGATACTATTGTAGCCAAAGCTGCCCTGGGGCAGACTGACTGAAGCAAGGCTGCCAATCTGCACCATCAGTCCCTCCGATCACCACCATCACTCACGCACACACCACTTTCATACTAGGCAATGTGGGTGAAGTGTCTTGCCTAAGGACACAACGGCAGTTTTTTTTGCCACTGGAGCCCCCACTGTGGCAGCTGGAATTCCTAGCGGTCTCCCATCCGAGTACTTCCCAGGCCCAGCCTGCTTAGTTTCTGAGATCTGATGGGATCAGGCTTTGACAAGCTAGTATGATATGATTTCAACATTTATTTTCTTCAACAATATACAGCATCATATTGTGTTACAGTGACAGGCGTACACACTTGGGATGCCCCTGAATATCGAGCGAGGTACTCCTGAACATAAATCTCGCTCAGAATCTGAAGAAGGGTCCCCTGGCGCAGCATTTATTGTTGTCCTTGTGATTTGTGTATTTTGGGAAACACTACTTAGCATATTGTAACTTTAAGCAAATACAGCTCAACATTTGCAACACATTTACATAATATTAAATAAGGCAGAGAATACTAGTGTAAGAAGGTAAGACTGCTAAAGTACACGGCAACAAGGGAATACTGCATTAAATATAACATACAATTTTTTGGTGTTATTTAAAAGTGTGGTACTTGATGTCTTAAAAACTCGATAAAACTTGTTTATTTTACCTAAGGCATTACTAGCATCCTAATTATTAACCGCAATGAGTTTACAAGCACGTATTCACAATTTTTACAGAACCCAGCAGGGCCCAAGAGCTGCTTTTACAATATGTCTGTACTGAAGCAAGAGTTTTAACTTTTTTATGTGACCTTTAAGATGAGGAATTAAAATTAAATCTCAAATAGAGGAAAAACAGAGATAGCTTAAAGGTCACGTACTTTACATAATTTCAGCTTTCTCAAATTTAAACACTTGCTATTCACGTTTGATTTCACATTTCACCCTCAAAAAGTCTTAAATTAAACTGACCTTTTTGAGCGCTCACCTGTGATAATGTGTCCTCCAAAAAAACATATGTGGATATTTGGAGTTTTATCTGTTAAATTCACGGCTCATTGGTTGATCCAGTAAATTACACGTACTGTCAAGGTGCCCTCAGCGGTTGTCATAGCGATGTGAGGGAAATTTATATTGTGGAAAGATTTCTGTCTTTGTGTAGACGAATGCGATTTCTACCTGACACCCAGACCAGTCATAAACAAGAGTAAAGGCTCAGCAGACGCCCCATAGGAAACTTTTTGTTGTACTGTCTGTCCTCAAAGTGAAGTTGAGAAACAAAAGTCACTATGCTTTGATATGTATGTAACTTGTATTTCTGTATAAATACTCAAAGCTCAGATGCTCTCTGCAGGGACTGGAGAGAGGAGACTCGGGAGATGCTAGACCCTGTCCATACCTGCTGTAACAAGAATAAATCTTTGTCTGTAGCTCAAAAACTCTCCGGGCTTCGCAAATGGATTCATCATGTATCATCAAAAGATAAGAGATTATAAAATAGCTACAACTTAAATGCCAAACCGGGGCTATTGGCAACAGTGAAAAAACCTCCAAAGGCTCAAAATATCTGCAGTACTGTCCTATAGTGACCTGAGACATGAGGAGACCAGGACTGAACCAGGACTGAACCAGGTCTAAACCAGGACTGAACCAGGTCTAAACCAGGACTGAGTGTCAGAATGGGCTCGGAGGTGCGTCTGCGTAGACCGTTCGGTGACCGCGGGTAAAAGGACCGGCTCAGAGCTCCGTGTCCCAAGGGGCTTTGTGGACACCCTGCTCCACAGGCTCAGGGTTCTTCCTCTCTCTCGCTCTCAAGTCCAAGATTAGTCCTGGTTTAGTCCTTATTAAGATCTATTTTAGTGCTGTTTAGACCTGGTTTAGTCCTGGTTTAGTCCTGGTTCAGTCCTGGTTTAGACCTGTTTTAGTCCTGGTTTACTCCTGGTTTAGACCTGGTTTAGACCTGGTTCAGTCCTGGTTTACAACTGGTTTAGTCCTGGTTTAGACCTGGTTTAGACCTGGTTTAGTCCTGGTTTAGACCTGGTTTAGACCTGGTTTCAGTCCTGGTTTAGACCTGGTTCAGTCCTGGTTTAGACCTGGTTTACACCTGAATTAAACCTGGTTTAATCCTGGTTTAGACCTGGTTTAGACTTGGTTCAGTCCAGGCTCAGTCCTGGTTTAGTCTTGGTTTAGTCCTGGTTTACACCTGGTTTAGACCTGGTTCAGTCCTGGTTTAGACCTGCTTTAGTCCTAGTTTAGACCTGGTTTATTCCTGGTTTAATCTTGTTTCAGTCCTGGTTTAGACCTGGTTCAGTCCTGGTTTAGTGCTGATTTACACCTGGTTTAATCCTGGTTCAGTCCTGGTTTAGACCTGGTTCAGTCCTGGTTTAGTCCTGATTTAGTCCTGGTTTAATCCTGGTTCAGTCCTGGTTTAGTCCTAGTTTAGTCCTGATTTAGTCCTGGTTTAGTCCTGGTTCAGTCACAAATCGTGTACTTTAAAAATCTTAATCTCCTTAAAAATCCCCACTACACCACAGGAGATTATCACAACAATAACAGTAATCTACAAATCTTCTCTGTTACTTAAAGGTGCACTGAGTAACTTTTCCAGACAACCCCACTCACAGTAAGAATGAATGTTTTTAAAGATATTTTTGAGCAATAAATCACTCTTGGAGTTGAATACATGCACGACAGATGAGTTTAATATCATATGGTCGACGATTTAAACCAGAGCATTAACATCTCCATGGAAACAGGTTGCGGATGTTGTTCATAAAAGTTACACAGTGCACAGGACTCAATTCTAACAGCTCTAAAATTTGCTTTATACTTGGTTAATCAATCCAGTTTACAAGGTTGTTATGAATGCTCTGAAATTATGGTGCAATTTTTTCCATATACTTAGATAATAATAGATTGCAAACTTGCTCGAAAGCCTTGAGCACAGTTTTTAACTTTATAAAACAGCACCAGAGCTATTAAAAGTATTTCTAAATGCAAATTCAGTCAAAGCAGTATGGTGGCCTGATGCAAATAATGCTAAAAGGATTCCTCTTGTGTCAGCAGAGGGAGCTCTAATGCAAATCTATAAACTTAGAAATATTTTAGGCATTATTTTTAGTTCTGAAACAGTGGCTGTCAGAGAAAAGATATGGCTTTCTGAGTATGACCAGATTTAAATCAAGTATACAACAGGACTACTCCAGGTCTAATCTAGGGCTACAACAGGTCTAAAAGTGAACTACATTTCCACTGTAGTTCTTAACACGAAAAGGGAGGACACATAAGTGAATAAGATGAGCTCTAAATAAGGCAAACCCACAAACTCAAGAGTTAGTCCAAGTACCATCTGACTCAAACTCTATTCTAAGACATAAAAATTATCCCAAAAAATAAAATAAAAAGGTCATTTACTTTAAAGGGCCCATATTACGCTGTTTTCTGGTGCATGTTACTATGTTGTTTCCTCATCACAAACAAACCTGGAGCTGCGTTTTGTTTAATTCACACACAAACCCTGTGTATTTAGGAGTTCTTCGCTCACCTAGAAAAAGCTCTATTCCACCTTGTGAGGTCATGTGGTAATACAGGAAGTGCTACACTATGTTTTTAAATGCCGTACACCTTCAGTAGAATCATTTGGATCATTTCAGACCTAGAATTTCCAATCTCTACTGAACAAATTGTAAAAGGCAGCTTGTAACTTGAAGACTACTACATCATGACATCACAAGGTGGAACAGAGCATTTTGAGCTTTGGAGAGCTTTAGAAAGATGAGTAAAAATTACTCAAATATGTAGGGCTGGGTATCATTAAGACGCTGTTGATACGATACATACCTCGATACAGTACACTTTCAATTTGATGCGATATATTTCAAATTGATTCAATACGATTCAATAAAAAATAAAGGTTAAATCATGGCTGCGATACTAAAAGTCTTTGTTAAACCACTTCTTGCACAAAGCTCATATGACATGTCACATAAATTAGTTTCCTTCCTCTAAACAAGCAACAAAATTGTAGCGCTGTAACAAAATAATTTAGTAAAATATACTAAAAAAATACTCTTGGCGATATATCGATACAGCAGCTCATGATATCGATACTACAGAGGTGGGACCGAGTCGTTGTTTTGCAAGTCTCAAGCAAGTCTCAAGTCTTTGACCTCAAGTCCAAGTCAAGTCCCAAGTCAAATACAAGCAAGTCCAAGTCGAGTCTCGAGTCACCGGCTTATAGGTTCAAGTCAAGTCCAAGTCGTCTGCTTTGAGCTTCAAGTCATTTCAAGTCTTTAAACCAAAGTACCAAATATATCTTAGATTTTTGCAATTTATATGAATTTTAAACTAAATTGTACTTAAAAAGTCATAGTATATTTATATATGAGTATAGAAGAGTTCTAGAAATGTAACTTTTTCTTTTTTTAATGTCTTTACAAGATCACAGATTGAATCATTACAGTAAGAATAGAAAGAATTCAGATTTAAAAGTGTTTCTTAAGTTTTCTCAAGTCACAGTCCGAGTCAACTTTCAAGTCTCTGACCTTCAAGTCCAAGTCAAGTCCCATGTCTTAGTCCATTTTATCAAGTCAAGTCTCAAGTCCTAAAAATAGTGACTCAAGTCTGACTCCAGTCCAAGTCACAACTAGCAAACTATACGATATATCGATATTTCAGTATTTTTGCACACCCCTACGAATATGTGTAAATGAAACAAAACACAACTCCAGGTCTGTTTTTGATGACGTAACAACATTATAACATGTTTTAAAGCTCAAAAGAGTCAATTTGATGTAATATAGGATCTTTAATACTGTGATGCTTACAGATGCTTTTAGAATTACTCAAACTTTAGCGAATTCAACACCACTTATGCCAAAAAGTCAACTAAATCTTTAAATACTCTCTGTTGTTGTGCCACATACCCACCAGCAGAGGGATATTACTTCAGTCCTACTTGTGCCAAAGCAGTACTATGTGAGGACCATAATCCCTTTTAATGTGCTGACTTTCTATAGTCATTACACCATCCCTGTGAGAGGTAATAGCATCCTGAAATGACCCAGCAGTCTGCTCCACAGTCCCTCCTCCTCCCTCTCCCCCTGACAACCAATGTGCCCAGTCAGCCGGTGGAATAATTACAGCCAACAGGAACGATCTGTCTTCTTCAGGTTTAAACTTAGGCCAGTGTGCATTTAAATAGGTGATTACGGGCGGGCTCACTGTGAATAGTGGTGGACGGAGGCTGCCAGGGCGTTGCCGGAGCCGCCCGGGAGGATGCCGAGGGGGGTCTGGATGGCCTGCTGCCAGTCCTCGCGGTCCATCAGTCCATTTATCACCTGCACAGAGGATGCAATACAGTCAGTGCCCAGGGCTGGTGGTAAATGTTTATTTTGGAACTGCCCGTGTGTGGGATCATATGAGAGTGGAATGATAAAGATAGAAGTCTGGGAAAGGCATTAAGGAGCTGTACTTGATGTTTTTCATGTAATAAAGTTAAATCTGTTGTGCCCAGCAGCTCTTAGGATCAAAATGAGACAGTTGTTGTTAGCTTTACTGGCCCTCTGGCCTCTAAAAGTTGTAAAATGTTCTTATAATCTCTTTGCAGTAAATAACTAGGACACAAGAAATGCATTAACAAAAGTGAGGAATAACTTTATGTTTTGGCTTTTGACAACTTTTGACAGAACCACATCAAGTCCTTTAGAATAGATTACCAATATCTATCTCTTATTCTATATTTGAAGCTGGGTGGATGACCTAATTTCATACATTTTTTATTCTGCGAGGCCATTAGAGGCTTTAATATGAGAGCGAAATATGATTAAAACATGAAACATTTTTAGATACTGTATTTTTCGGACTATAAGGCACACCGGATTGTAAGGCGTAATATCAATAATGTTGAATTCTCTCGTCTATTTTCATACATAAGGCGCACCGGATTGTAAGGCGCATTAAGCGGAACAAACGGACGACACTTGAGACTGATCCCTTAGCCCAGGCATCCATGATCCATTGGCAGATCATGGCATTACTCACCCGGCGTTGCCTCCTTGTCTTGGTGAATGTCTATTATGAATGTGAATGTGGGTGGATAATTTAAGTTAGTTTTTTTTATTTCCTACAAGGAGAACTCAAATATAAATTGAGTAATAATGTGTTTAATGCAGCTTTGCGCACATTTGTTTATGTTTTACAGCAAACTTAAAACCACATGGATAATTTGCATAAACTATAAGCTCTGAAAAAACAGTTCGCTCCTTGTGCTCTGATACGGCTCAACTTCTGTCGGACTAAAGGACACGACTCACTCACTCTGCAAGGCTCCTGACTATGGTAGCTGAAATGCTCCGACAATCCATCAAGTGTTGCAGCTTCATAGCTCATCAAAGTCGCACTAAAACATTTTGAGAGATTTTTGTTCTCCATGTACCACATAAAATAGGTTCAAGATCAGTAAACACAACAAGAAGTAATACATAAGGCACACCAGATTATAAGGCGTACTGTCAGTTTTAAGAAAATTAAAGGATTTTAAGTGTGCGTTATAGTCCAAAAAATACTGTACTTAATTTACCTTGAGAGGTAGCATAACCCATTTACATCACACTTCATTGTGATTGGTTAAATCCACCTGTCACTCACTCAGAGTGAGACAAAGACTAACCAATAGGAGGAGTGGGTGGGTAAAAGTACAGAATTTGAGCATAGAGCTACAATAAAGAGAAACAAATCATCAGAATCTCCCAAAACGGCAAATAATTTCAAAGTCATGCTGTATGTTTCGCAATTGGCTATACGGCGGCACGCTAGCTAGCTCACTGTGTCTCAAAGCAAACAGCCACTTTTATTAAACTCATAAAATATTAAATAAACAAACTATTAAAATGTAAAGTAATTAAAATAAAGACTGCCCTGTTATTTTTATATGTAAAATGCTTCAGTTTGTGGCATTTTAATACTTATCATGCCTCAAAATTAGCATTAGCATTAGGATTAGCACTGAGACTGAGACATAAACATCTGTCTTTCTAAACACAGAAGTTTCCTCCACTGCAGTATTCATTTTATTTGCATAATTTCTAACATATCTGTCACATCCACCTGAAACTCCCTACACAATACCTTGTCTTTAAATATTTATTAATTTTAGCAGAAAATAGATAAACAATTAGACAGAAAGTGGTGATGCTAACAATGTGGTTAGATTTTATATCATCATAATTTCAACCCCATAACTTCAATCCTATTTTCATGATTTTTGATTGCGACCTGCCCTTTTCACAATACCATCTGTCTCGCTCCAGGTGTGTATAAGTGCAGATTTTCCCTGACAGTTCCTCGTAGTATCTGACATGTTATTAGCCGAGTCCTGCTCAGATGAATCAATATTTAAAGATCACGTTGGTCTGTACACAGCAGGGCTCACCTCAAACAAGAGCCCATCTCCGGACAAGATGACCAGAGCGTCCCACTGCGTCAGGTCGGCCTTCCTCACCAGCTCACGGGCATGGTTCTTCGCCTCTGTACAAACATAAAAAGACAAAATTAGGGTTGAACAATTTGGGAAAAATATCAAATTTAATTGCGATTCTGATTAGATTTGTAATTTCTCATAACATTGTCTCCTAATGAAAATATATCTGTAGTTGTATTTAGTTTTATTTATGCTTGTTTAATCAGTCATCTTTAGTAAGTCTTCTCATTCTAAGTGCTCAAAAGAAAACAGGATTTTAAATTTCCCAATATTGTTATGTCACAGGTAAAAGTATGAAGGATTCCTGTGCTGTTTTTAAGTCCAGAAGTCTGTAGTTTAGTTGTTGTTGTTTTTTTTATTATTCATGCTTGTTTGATCAGTCATGTTTAGTAAATTTGCTCCTTCTATGTGCTCAAAAAACACAGGATTTTGAAATTTCCTAATATTGTTACGTCACAGGTAAAAGTATGAAGGGTTAAAGTGCTGTTTTTAAGTCCATAAATGTGCAGTTGTATTTAGTTTTATTCACACTTGTTTGTTCAGTTATGTTTAGTAAATTTGCTCCTTCTAAGAGCTCAAAGAAAACACAGTATTTAAAATTTCCCAATTTTGTTACATCATAGGTAAAAGTATGTAGGATTCCTGTGTTGTTTTTAAGTCCATAAGTCTGTAGTTGTTTTTTTGTTTTATACATGCTTGTTTGATCAGTCATGTTTAGAAAGTTTGCTTCTTCTAAGTGCTCAAAAAACTACAGGACTTTGAATTTCCCAGTATTGTTCCGTCACAGGTAAAAGTTTTCCTGTGCTGTTTTTAAGCCCATTAATACAAATCTGACCATTTCTGCCATCAAATCATGTTCTGTTAGCATGCAAAAGCACAGGTAGTCAAAAGCATATTTAAAAGCCAAACCCGATACATATAATGGATAATATTTGCTATCACACTGTTTAAAGTTCACATTTTAAACTTGACAAAATTGACAAAAAGACTACAGGGTTAGTAAGTTTGCAGAATAGGACAGGAGATTTTCTTGTTGAGAAGGAAATTCTGAAACTTCAATACTTGCAGCCATTGTGAGTTGTTAATTTTGTCCATTCAAAAAGCGATTTTGATTCGATTGTGATTCATCTTGTAGCCTTACACAAAATAATACAAAATACCAGAACTGACCGAAGGCTATAGCTGCAGAAATGTTCAAATCTAAAACAATAAAAGTGGGCAGACTCTATCTTGTCCCTCCTGGGCAAGATAAAGCAGATTAGACCAAAGAAGGGATTCAATTTCCCTTATCGTACAAGACATATTAGCCCTTCCAGAGGCTACTCAACAGCTCCAAGGCAGCTTAGCCCGCATGCTAACATCTGGTGCCCACTAATATTAGCATGTGTGTATGTGTTGCTAATGCTAAGTGTGTGTGTGTTGACTGATACGCTGGCTGTTTATTCTGTTATATTGGCAGCGTGCTTTGGTGGGTTCCCTCGGAGCCAGTCTCAGCGGACCACTCGCTTTTAAAAGCTCTGCTCCTGCCAGCTGCGACTCTGCAATATACAGAGACATGCTATAATATATGAGAGAATAGCGGGGATAGAATAAAAAAATATATAAAAACATAAATAACTGTTGGAAAATTACAGTAGGCACTATACCAAATACAAAGACTATAGCAGGGCCGTTGTGGTGCCCCTCCACACCACCCTGCCCCACCCAGAATGAACAATAACTCAGAATTTATCAGTGCGTTTCACTTTATTTCCAAAACAAACACACCAAACATAAAAGTTTGAATAATACATTTTTAAAGAAGGTTAATTAATAAATACCACCACCACCACCATTATTATAAATAAAGATTTGTGCAGTGACTGCAGACTGAACATTGTAAACACAGAACAAGTATTCAGTATACCCTTGTAAGTAATAATGTACAAATTTCTTTGGTAAATAATGTACATAAGTACAAATAATTGCACAATAGAATTTACTCAATCAAGGAACTTTAAATAAGTAATAATAAGAAGAATTTGAAAGTGAGAATATCTCCATGAAGACTCTGCTGGCATGCATGAAGGTCTGGACACCGAGGGAGAAAAAAAGGAAAGATTTGGGGGGATTCTGTTTGCACTGGCACCGGCTTCTTGCCTCTCTCCGCACAGTTTGGGTGGATAGTTTTGCGAGGATTCACAAGCCTGATTTTTTTGGTGTTGCCCCCGCAAGCACTTCGTGTCCTACATGCTGCGCGTAATATGCATGTGCAGAACGACGGCACTGGACTATAGAGAACTTAAAATAATCAAATGAAACAAACGAGAGAATTGAATCAAACACCATAAATTCTACATGTCACCTGCTTCAGATAAACTTTTAATGCCATACACTGGAACATTCTAGGATCTTCATTTGTACAGCATTGCCCAGATTGTAGTCCTGTTGTTGCTTGAAGCATTAATAGTACATAAATCCATGATCGTTTATATTTTTATCACACTGATAATCATCAACACGACTTCACAGATAAAATACTTATTCTTCCTTCACCTCATTTTATCTAGCATTTTGCATGTAACATTTTTGTAATGACTCAAAGCAGCTAATTATTCAGTTCCTATTGTGGAAAGCATTGATGGAGGACAATTATTAATTCACAATGTCCTATAGAAGAGGAATTAACACATTTGGAATTACGCACAATTATTCCACCACAATTTTCAAATCCTACAACAAATTCTACACATTTACACATGTATTTTCTTTTCTAAACTAAATTACACTATAGAACCAGTAATTAATAATCAAGCCAGTGTAAAAGTATAACAAAATAAGTTTTAAAGAGTGAATATGTTTCACCACATGTAGCTTCTTCAGTTCTGACAGGTTCTGTTATGTCAGTGCCTGAATATCTGCCTGAATGGAGGAGCTAATTACACTGAAATTAACACCTTAGTTCAGGCCATTAAACTCTCCTAAGGTGTGAACTGTCACCTGAGTCATATTTTATATAATCGTACATCGCTCTAATGAGTCATCTTAGCACCTATTAACATTAGCACTAGTTCTTTTTCAATGTAAAAGGGAAAAGCAACACTTTCTTATATCATCTAAGTAGGCAACAAACTGAAAGCAAAACAATATAGACCTTAAACACTGTGAATATGGAACATCGCCAACCACAACAACAACAACCAACCAACCGCACAGACACACTTTATAACTGTATCGACTGTGCAGAGACAGCACAGTTTCCTTTGCTTAAACTAAAGTATTGATTCTTTGCTTGTGAGTAATGACCAAACTGTTCTGTTAGTACGCAACGGTTGGTTTGGTTCACCCTCTGCCTCCCCTGCCCCTGTCCAGCCCTTGCCCTGCCCCTGTCCAGCCCCTGCCCTTCCTCTGTCCTGCCCCTGTCCCCTGCCTCCTCCGGTTCTCGTGAAGGGAGGAGTGAGGCTGGAGGCTCGGCTGCTGCTGACGGACAGGGACAGAGGGCTGACGCAGCACTCCGAGGCCTGTCAGGGAGCTCTGGAGGAGGGGGAGAGATGAGAGAGGAGGTGCAAGTAGTTCCAGGGTAGTTTATAGTACAGTACTTTCATATTCAAAGGGGTCAGAGCCAAAAGATGACTGCGGTCGGATACAGGGCCAAAGGGAGTAGACAGCTTGAGCGTTGGCAGAGTTTGTAACTTCACAGCTGACCTTGGTGAAAGTTGAAAGCGTAGATCAGGGGTGTCCAAACTTTGCTGATTGAAGCATATATGAAAGCAAGGCCAACAAACTAAAGGGAAATACAGTGATTTTTTTTTTTATTGGAACAAAACACCTAGACTCCGCCTACAACCACATTTCTGCTAAACTGAGCAGTACCTGGAGGACTAAAGGGAGTGAAAGAGGAGGAGCGTGGTGATAAACACTGTGACTGGTCTAACAAGCATCCACACTTTAAACGCCGCCTCTGCAGTCAGGTGTTTGTAAACAAATACACCGGGCTGTAGTCTTTTATGATGTCACCAATTACTGGAAATTTCAGACGTCACTGGAGGCAGGATGTGGCCAGGCTGGTGCCACCTAGTGCCTCCACTCAATTTCAGTTCTCTCCAGCGACTAGGCCAGGAATCGGAATACACTAGACGGATCGGAAAAACCCTGGAAGTGTGAGTTTGGGCACCAGCCAATCAGCGAAGAGTCATGCATTCTGTTGTTGGCAACAATTCCCGAGATCAAGGATTTAAAGAAGGAACAAAGAGAATGTTTGGTGAATTTTATCAAGAGGAAAGGAGTTATTGCCCTTCTTCCTATGGGATTCGGGAAAAGGTTAATATACCAGTTAGCCCCGTTAGCGGCGCATTACATACATCATGACCAATATAGCAACGATAGATTAAATGAAAAAAGTACCCACCTACCTTTGAGCGAACGAATTCTAACACTGGGAGGTCAGACAGTTTCTACAAAGTGAAACCAGCTGATGAATAAGGTTAGGCAGGATGCACATAGTTATGCAAAATATAGTTTCACTTTAATTATTATTATTTTTTTTATATGTATGTTTTTTTGTTTTTTGTTTTGTTTTTTGTTTTTTTGTGATTCTGAGGACCCCCTCAAAAACAAGATGGCGAGACATCTCAAGGGGCTTTTCCTCCAAACAAATAAATGTATTATACATTTATTATATGGACATAGCAATAACATTGGATTAGATCAGATGCATTGTTTTAAGTGTTATATATGTTTAAATGCTCTTTTTCAACATCTGTCCAATAGGGGGCTTTTAAAGAAGTTCAGAAAGCAATGAACATTTTTCAAAATACTGTAATTTAAGTTATAATGGTGAAAAGTAACTAGTTTTGATCATTTGGGCCAATTCAGCGAATGACCTGAGGGTTCACAAAAATGGGTTCGAGGGCTGCATTTGGTCACCAGACCATTGTTTGACACCCCTGGAATAGATGAAAAACAATGGTAGAAGCAATAAGTTAATAAAATAAAAACAAAGGAACAACTTTAAAGATTAAGAGATGGTGATGACTGGTGAAGGCCTGCCACCTGTTTGTCTCCATGC